TCTTAGATCACTCACTCTGAGGGAAGCCAGCTATCATGATATGCAGACATTCAAGCATCCCAAGGAGAAGTCTATACGCAGAGGAATGGCTGACCTCTCGCCAGCAAGCAGCACTCACTTGCTGGGTGTGTGAGTGAGCCTCCTTGGAAGGGGATTCTCCAGTTCAGTTAAGCTTTCATATGACGACAGCTTCAGCTGACATCTAACTGTAATCTCGTGAGTAACCTAAGCTGGAACCACCCAGCTAAGCTGCTCCCAAGTTTCTGACCGGCAGAAACTGAGTAAGGTAATAAATGTTTATCATTTAAGCCACTAGGTTTTGGGGTAATTTGGCATGCAGTAATAGGTAACTAATGTAGCCAGGCACTGAGATGAGCTGTTTACAAGCACCATTTGGTTTCCACTCAATGACCCCAAATGGGGTATCAAGAGTATTATATAGGGGCCGGCCTGGTGACGCACTGCTGTAGTGCGCCACTTGGGAAGCGCGGTGGCACTCCCGCCGAGGGTTCGGATCCCACATACAGACCGGCTGCTCACTGGCTGAGCGAGGGGTGGGAGCAACACCAAGGGTTGCGATCCAGTGGCTGGTCCCGGTCCGGTACGGGCGCGACACTGAGGGTTGCGATCCGTTGCCGGTCACGAAAAAAGACAAAAAAGGAAAAAAAAAAAAAAGAGTATTATATAGTCAAGCCATGAGTCATTTCATTATAAAAGGGGGCATAAATTGTAACTTTCACCACTTTCTAGAACAGAAGTCAGCAAAACTTTTTCGTAAGGGACCAGGCAGTGAATATCTCAGACTTTGCCAGCCATACCGTCTCTCTCACAACTACTCAACTCTGCGGCTCTACAGCAAAAGCAGCCTCACACAGTACATCAATTAATAGGCATGGCTGTGGTCCAATAAAATGTTATTTACAAAAGCAGGCAGCAGGCTGAATTCGGCCTGGGTGCTGTAGTTTGTTCACCCCTATTTCAGAACTAAACATAATGTCTCTTTGAAGTCTTGAGGCACCTGCTGGGTGCCAGTGTAGTTTAGTAAGTTTCAGCTTTTCTCAGTCATTTCCGATGTAAACTTAGTGCTCTTGCATCTTCCACCCTCCTAGCTTCTCTTCTGCTTGGAATGGCCTCTCCAGGGAAACTTCAGATCCAAGGAAACTTCACTAGCATCATGGCACTGGGAGGAGTCAGAGGCCTATGGACCAGTGTCCCTGGAACCTGGCTGTCTTTCTTGCTAGTTACCGGCCTCTGGTTGTCACTCTAGGTACCCTGAACCACCCTCCTGTCAGCTGTGAGACCCCTTAGGACTGTCCAGCCTCTCCCAGCTTTGCCCATTCTGGGTCCAGAAATTTGCAGGCTTTCCCATGCCACTTGTGTATCCAGCACTGCATGGACTTAACTCTCGCAGGCAAAGCACAAACCCCACATTCTGCAATTGTCACTCTGCTCCTAGGGCTTTCTTCTAAAGGTGTAGCCTGAGAAGTGAGGCCCAGGTCTCCTCTCTGCTCTGGATCCTCAGATCTGTCTGAGGGGTTCATCTTTTCCCAACCATACCCTCCCACTCCAGGAAGACCGTAAGTGCAGAGCCCAACTTCTTAGCTCACCCCTCTCTCCTCCAAGCCTCCTAGTCCAGAGTTTGCTGCTGTTGCTTTTGTTTGTTTTGTTTTTCAACATCTTTTCTCAACTAGACACACAAATATTCTTCCAAACTGCTTATGCCAGTCCCTCGCCTTCAGGCACTTGAACCCAAGAACTGAAGAAATAGGGCTGACTGGTTAGCTCGGTTGGTTAGAGTATGGTGCGGGTAACAGCAAGGTCCAGGGTTCAAACCCTGAACCTGCCAGCTGCTGGGGGGAAAAATTGAAGAAATACAGTTTGTATCATGTTCCTTTCTTTTTCCCTTTCTTTGAAGCAATAAGGACAAGATCTAGATTGAAAAGAGAGAAGAGCAGGGCTGAACAAAGGGATTTCAGAACAATACTGCAAGATTTTATCCCACCAGAGGTAGGTACCATTATTATTCTTATTTTACAGATAAGGAAATTGAGGCCAAGAGAGATTAAGAAGCTGGAGTTCTTGGGACAGAGCACTGGATTTAGAGCCAGAAGCCATGCTGGAATTTGGGCATTTGTCTCTGCTGGTGGTGGCCCAACTCTCTCCCTTCCTCTCCCCTGCCTGAATGGTGCTGGGACTAGGACCCCCCACGCCCAGGCTCCCTGAAGCCCCTTGTGGTCTGGCTGTGCCCACCCGCAGCTCTTCCCCAGGAGAAATCTCTGTCTCCTCTGGTGAGTCTTGGCACTCTCTCTCAGACCATTCTTGCCACAGTCCTGTGTCAGTTGGTAGCACTGGGGCTCTGGTGAAACATCAGCTCCATACTTGCCGGGCTGCGTGACCTGGGGCAAGTTTCTCCCCCTCCCTGAGCCTCAGTTTCCTCATCGGTATACAGCAGATTATAATAGTAATTCAGTTCATGCTTAGAGGGCCTGCTGTGGCAGGCAATGTGCTGGAAGCTGGAGGTGCAAAAGGGAGTGAGACTGTCCCAGTGTCCTCATTCCCTGCAGTGGCTGCATGTCCCCAGCACGGAGGTGGACATGCTGCAGGCATTCAGTGATGGACACTGTCCCGTGCTGCAGAACTTGAATGCCCTGCTACCAGCAGCCTGGCAGTCTGGCCTGCTTGGTATGGGCCTCTCAGGGAGTTTCTCTTTGATTAATGAGTGCCTTTGTCCCCAAAGATGTGCTGTCAGCTGCTTTCTTGTCTCATCTGCCTGCTGGGGCCCCTGAACAGTTGGCAAAGCAGTTGGTATCTTTGACTATTTTTAGGTGTGGGAGTTAGTGGGGTGAATGTGGTAGGGCCCAGGGGGAGTCGGGTAGATTGGGAGCTTCACATGCAACAAGTTGGGGGTGCTGGTGGTGGTAGATGCTCCCTCTCAGAAATGTGTGGGCGAACTCCCACTCATTCTTCATGATGGAAATCAAAAGCCACCTCCTCTGCACAGTCTTCCTTGATTTCCTCATAAAACACACCCCAAAGACAGGGGTTGGTGGTACACCCTCTGAGCTTCCCCCAGCCCTTGGCTAGAGTCCCAGACCAAAAGATACTGAGAAATAAGGGCATTATCTGATGCAGATAAGGTTTCTCCTGGTCTGTGCCTCCGAGTCCCCATCCTGCCATCCCTAGTCACTAGGTAGGACAAGGTATAGAAGTTAGGAATTGAGACTTTGGAGTCACACAGCTGAGATCTCCTCTTGGTTCCTTTCTAGCAAACTATCACCTAGCAAATCACTTTATAAACCTCTTGTTTCCTCATCTGTGAAATGGGCGATTATCGTGCTTGCCTCCCAGGAATTAAAGGGTTTACTTTGCTCAAAGCGCAGTGCACACAGCCTGGTATAGACTGTTAGAAGAGATCTCTTGCAAGCCTCAGGCCCAGAAGGGGCTGCATGCCCCGAAATGTCCCCTTCCCCTTTGTGGCATCTCGGTGAGTGTGTGCATGCTGGCGGGAGGGGAGGGAGAATGGTGGGTGTCCCTGGAAATCTAGGGGCCCAGAGCGAGAGGCCACCCAGCGAGATAGTGGCCGAGATGGGCTGTAAGACAGGTGTGAGACTCTGGCCAACGCCGCTGCCTTCCATGGCTCTTCTCCGCTTCCCCCAGTATTTTCTTGTCTCTCTCCTCCGCGTCCCCGCTTCTCTCCTCTAACTCTGTGGCTTTCCCAGATGCGAGGAGGGGTCTCGGGGCTGGAGGCGGGGAGTCCACCGCCTCAAGCTGGGGAAACGGGCCGCTGGCTCAGTGCCAGGGCCCTGGCCTACGGTGGGGAGGGGGCGCCCGGGTGTCTGGGAGAACCCCGGAGTCCCTGGAAATGGGGAAGAGGTGTCACAGACTCCCGGAGAGTCCCTGAGCCAGAGAGGAGGGCCGAGGGAGTCCCTAAGACAGAGTGGCGGGCGGGGCTTCCCTGGGCACGTGGGCGGGGCCCACGGAGGGGGCGTGGCCTCCAGAGAAGGGGAGGAGCTTTGTCGACAGGCTAAGCTTCTCCGCAAGGGGCGGAGTCTCGGGTGAGGCGGGGCCCTCCTGGGGGCGGGGCCAACTGGGCGGGGCATCGGAACAGGGGGCGGAGCGTGGCGGTTCACGCTCGTCTCCCTCCCCCCGGCCCCGGGTGTCCCCGTGACGAGGCAGCGCGGAGCCGCCGCGGGCCGGGCCCATCCC